ACATACCCACACAAAGAAACGAAACACAAATTTACCACAGAGCTATTTACATGGCCAATACATAGCAGTGTGACTGATTAGTATTTGCATTTGTTTCCCATATCAAGTTCTCAAAGGAATAATGCTGCAATTATTCCCTCTCAAAGACCTCTCCATTCATTTTCTAACAGGCTTTACCTGCTCCCACAATGCATGGCTAATATTTATATACTGAAATTGATGTTTATGTAATGACCCTTTAAAATACAGTGTGGTCTAGTTAAATAACTTTAATCGCATAGCATTTTATGGATTTTTTTATGTCTTTGAAATAAAGCAGTTACACTTTTTTACTATATGTTCAGTTAAATATAAATTTGCATTTAAATTAGTAACTAACACGAAGCAACTAGCACGAAGGTCAGTAACGCTCCTGTTTCAACAACATTAAATTGTATTTAACAGGTATCTTAAATGTTAATCTAGCCACCTCCTCCAGCTTGTTTGAGGAAACACCAAGAGATTCCCAGGGCAGCCGAGAGCTATTATCTGTCCAACGTGTCCTGGATATGAATGTGAGAAAGCTCATTTCCGCTGCTAGCATCCAGAACCTTATTCTTTTGGTCACTACCCAAGGCTCTTTACAATAGTTGAGGGTAGGGACGTTGGACGACCAGTAAATCGAGACCTTTGCTTTTTCACTTTGAGTCAATCTCCCACTCCCCTTGCCCATCACTCCTAAACAAGACCTTGAAATATTTAAACTCTTCCGTGGGACAATAACGCATCCCTGACCCGGAGTGGGCACTCCATCTTTTTCTAGCTGACGACCATGGCGTAAAACTTGGAGGTGCTGATTCTCATTCCGTCGCTTCATACTCGGCTGCAAACTGCTCCAGAAAAAATGAACAGAATCTGTGACAAAGGGCAGAACTAGCAAAGTCCAAAACCCACTGGGAACGAGTCTGACTTATTGCTGGCTATGCGGACAAAGCAACAGTTTCTGTGGGATCGAATGGGTCTTTAGCAACGGGTCCGACCACGCATACTCCCGAAGCATTTCACACAGAATACTCAGAGGGTATGGCTTCTGCAAGTCCGCAAAACACATGTAGATTGCTTGGGCTACCTCCCATGAACCCTCAATCATTCTCAAGAGTATAAAGAGCTGGTCCAGTGTTCCGTGACCAGGGCAGTTATTTGGGACAAAAACCACATTGTTCCTCCTGTATCCCGAGGTTCGACTAACCAGCTGTTAGTCGAACCTCAGATACTCTACTTTCCAGCACCCTGACATAGCTTTTGGGAGGCTGAGGAGTGTGATCACCCTATAGTTGGAGCACAACCTCTGGTCCCCCTTTTTAAAGATGGGAACAACCACCCCAGTTTGCCAATCAGACCTTTGGCTTGTCAAAGATCTTTTACCGTCCAACAAAATTCTTAGTTAAAGTCAGCAGTGCTCCACCCACACTATACACAGTGCAGGTAGACCACCACTTTCCCCTCCTGAGTCGACTGATTGTTTTCCAGAAACCATTCGAGGCAGTCAAAAAGTATTTTTCCATGGCCTCTCCAAACTCCTCCCACAGCCCAGTTTTTGCTTCAGGCACTGCCCGAGATGTGTTCTGCTTGGCCTGTTGGTAACTATCGGCTGCCTCCAAAGTCCCACAGGCTAACCAAGCTAGGTTAGGACTCCCTCTTTAGTTTGATTACGCTCTTCACCTTCAGTGTCGACCATTTGGTTCAGGGGTTACACCCATGCCAGACACCAACTACCTTGCAGCCACAGCTCTGTGTAGCAGGTTCAGCAATGACTCAATGTCCCTAGTCTACCAATGGAATGTTGTCGAAGCTCTGCTGGGAGTGGAAGTGGCCTAGGGTGTACCATATGTTTCTGTGTTTTTTGTTTATTTGTTTGTTTGTTTGTTTTTTGACGGTATGTCTTTATAGCACCTATTTAATGGTACTGATAAACAGTATCAGTAAATTTAATACTGCAGTGAAAGTGTCCATGGCTCCTTCATCTCTGTATTCTGTAGGTCTGTAGTCAGTTTTATTTAATACAGTGCCAAATTACAACAACAGTCACCTCAAGGCGCTTTATGTTGTAAGCTATACCCTACAATAATACAACAAAGAAAACCCCAACAATCATATGACCCCTATGATCAAGCGGTTTGGCGACAGTGAGAAGGACAAACTCCCTTTTAACAGGAAGAAACCTCCAGCAGAACCAGGCTCAGAGAAGACGACCATCTGCCATGACTGGTTGGTGTGCTGTGTCTATTTTTCTCTTTGTCGTCCCCCATTTCTTTTGTGTTGTCCAGAAGGAAATGGAATGCGGTGCTACAAATGCTGTGACTCTTCTATACTGACCTATAGGTGGCAGCAACATGCCAAGATATATAGCAATGTGCAAATAAAGATGAAGAAGAAGAGGACTGCAGGCCAAAAGAAATGGATGTAAATAATTGAGAGGAAGGAAATGGATTCAACACATTTGTTAGAGCTCAAGGATATAATCAAAAGTATTGCTGAGTTAAACAGAATAAAAAATGAGCAGAGGTATTCTAGCGTTCACAAAACACTCAATATTTGATGGTTAATTGGAGTACAATTCAGCCTGTGTAAGTTCAGTGGTTTTCAAGAATCACATAGGTACTGCTGACTGCTGAACTGTATAACATGACATTTCATTACCATGAATTGTTCAGGTGGGAAACATTTGGTCCTAGCATTCATATGGATGCTACTCTAACGCATTACTGCCCATGTTATTGGACACCGAGCAACCCCCTGATGGGGTTGGCGTCCCACAGAGAACAGTGTATCTTACCACACCACAGAAACTGCTCAGTGGATGTATCATACAACCCATATAACACAATGGATGCTTTAACAGCATCCCAGTACCAGACAGTACTCCTGTGACATAATAGCTGGAGATGGCTTCTATTTCGTGGCTGATAAGTGAATATTTAGGTGTGCTCATTTTAGCACATGAGGGAGACAAGTTAATGCTTCAAGTGCTTGAGTGGGTCGAAGAATATTTTGGCTCCAAACATCTTAACTGAATATGTAATATAAATTATTTTAAAATGAAGATTATTTAAAAACACACACACAGCTAAACATTACCATTTGAGATGCTTTCTCAGCAGTCAGGCTGTTTTGCTTGTCATTTGCATTTGATCAGGATATTGTTAATTAAATTATGTTATTAAATCACAGACCATACTATCTATAGGGCTTCCCCTTACCATTGGCATAGATGGGAGGGAAAGTGGATACTGGAGATGAGGATTGAGTTACACTTGATTGATCCTATTAAAGCCATAAAACAGGAAAGGGAAAAGAGAGAAAAGGGATGTAATGTGTTGGTGAGTATCACTGTTATCCACAGATACCCGATAAATATGAGAGATTTGAGTGAAAATCTTACTTTCCTGGCGCAGTCTGTGATGATCTCTTGTCAAAGGTGACTTTTATGGAAAAGTAGCATGAATAATGAGGTTTCTTTTATGTAAAGCTGCATGATCTGTTTTAATTTATTGAACTTTTTTTGCTTCATCATGCTGCCCCAATAATTTAGTGTGGAAAATGTAAGTAGGAGGCCTTGTGTAATGACTGCGTTTGAACCATTTATAAATTGGCAAATGATGGCTTGAGGCTGCCAAACTGGTCAGCTAAGACTAATCAATTTGCAGCCTATAAAACAGCTCTCTTGCAGTTAATCTACAAGCTACTGCAGTGAGTGAAATGCTTGCAAATCTCTATTGATTCTTAAGAGAACCCACTGAAACAAATATCAGTGAGCAACTTTTATTTATTTCATGACTGCACCTTCAGATATGAAGATTCATACCTATGTTTTATCATCTGAGAAGGGGTCCGCTTTAGCATAGGAGTGAAAATATAAAGAAAGGAGACAATGTGGCAAGCATCTACAAAAAAAAAATCATCCTCTTCCTCCTCACCTCAAGATTCATCACCTGAGCTGAAGTCAAGCCTCTAACACATGAAAATGTGTATAAACATGTTTATGTGTTCTAGATATTGTTGCAATTAGTCATTTTCAGCAGCTACGAATGAGCCGGCTTTAACAACAGTAGCTGGTTGTAAGCTATTATGCCAGCTAACGTTAGGCTTCAGTGTCTTAAAAATCACATTTTCTCACTGACAGTTTGACACTCTGCGAATTAACTCTCGTATTTGCTCTCATGTGAGAATATAATTTGAGTCCACTTACGGTAAAAAAAAAAAAAAAAAGTTTCATTAATGCTCGGTAACAGTGGATAACAATAGCTAACAGCGGTGCTAACCGACAGAAAAGTTCATTGTATCCTCAACATCTCACCTCAGTATTGCTGTCCTCAGGAAGAAGTGAGCTTCTCTGACTCCATGACTTGTATCGGATTCTTTTCACAAAGATTTACAGCCTCCTCCAGAGTAAATGGTTACATAAGCTTGTCATCTGGCATATAAACAG